CTTTATTTTTTTTTTCTAAATTTTCTAATAAATTAATTAAACAGGAATAATTAACAATATGAAACGTACACAAGAAAATGGTACTTAAATATTTGCACCGCCTCAGGCATTTATTAAACGATCAATTTTTACACTTCTAGTTTTTTTTTTTTTTTTATTCATACGTATAGTATGGTAAATTAAAATTCAAATAAAATTTTTTATTGTTTTTAATTAGAAGGAATGGAAATTTTTCCATTTGAAATGTTTAATAGAGGATGATAAATATTTGTATATTTAAAATTTTATTGTATTTTATAATATTTGAAAGTAAATAATATTTTATGAAAAGATTATTTTCCAATTTCCTAAATCATAGCGATAATTTAAATGAATAAAATAAGAAATTATAATTAAAATGAAATTTTCTTTTTGTATAATAAAATAACAAAATTTGAATTAAATAAATTATGTTTGTACAATTTACGATTATAAGTTTGAATTTAAGTAAATGAAATGAATTAATAATTGATTAAATAATTTGCATATGTTTCATTTCTCCATTTTTTTTTTTATTTTTTTTTCTAACGATAACATAATTTTGAACCTTAAATAATATTAAAAGCTAAGAATGAAAAGATTTTGATGAAATCATTGGATATTGATGAAAAGGAGAAATATAAATGTCTTGTGATGTGACAGATAAATGATGATGTATTCATGGTATAGCTGGTATATGGCTTGTCATTTGTTGGACGTATTGCTGGAACGACAATTTTCGCACAATATTTTTCATCAATATTTATTAAAATTGGCGTTCGTTTTTTTTTTTTTTCCTTTTCTTTTTTTTCCATTTTAAATTTGCATAGTGAAGAAATTAACTTTGTTAAAGTATTAGCAAAAATTTAGTTTAATTTGAACGTGAAAAAAATCATGAAAATAAGGTGATGAATTAAATTATGATAAATTATCATTAATTCTTATCATTCTCTCTAATTTCATTTTATATCTAAAATTAGGTAATACTATGGCGAAAGATGTATTATTTAAAATTATTACGGTATGTATATATATATATTATCGTTATCATCTTTATCATCATAGCTAAGCTTCATGAGCAAAAATTTACCAAGATAGCTGGAAAACTTATAATGTCACATAAATTTTTATCCCATAACAAGAGAGAATATCTATGGCGAAATGTATATATATATATATACTGTGATAATTATGTAATTAAGATTAATTTTAATTATAAATATATATATACGTGTGTAATTAAAATAAGCCTTAATTATATGATTATCGCAATATTCATGTTATCATTGTAAATCTAGTTTTGATAGACTATAAAAAATACGAAAAAATATGAGGAAAAAAGGAAAATGAAAGAAAAAAAATGAATAAATCAATAAAAGTAGTGAATTGTTTTCATTAATTTACCAAAAAAAAAAATAATTTTACAGGAAAAAAGATTTAATCAGAAAACATTCGCGGAAATTACATCGTTAATATAATGAAATAATTTTGTTGTCAAATTATTTTAAAGGAATTTTTCATGTAAAAAAAAAAAAAAGAACAATGATAGAATGGTCAATGTAAAATTATGTCACCATTGATTATTTCAAATCAAAATCTTTTATTACAAATGAACAATTCATTGGGCGAAAAAAAAAAAAAAAAAATAGGATAACATGTTAAACGAAATAATCTATGGATGACAATATTCGTTGTGAAAAGGTTAAAGGTTAAGGTTTTTTCGTCCATTTCATCTATTGTTGACGGAAATAATCCTCATCATTGATATTATCCATATATAAATTGACTATTTTTTTCATGTCTTTTTGATTTCAAACTGTTCCGATCTGTTACACTTTATCGTTAACTATCAATTTTTGCTTTTCTTTTTTTTTTTTTAAATGAGAAAAATTAAAAAACAAATTTTTTAAAACTGTTCTATCAACAATTGGCTACTAAAAAAAAAATGTGCCCAATTATTTTTGATCCTAAACTTGGCTAGATAGACATTTCATTAATCAAAAAATATTTCACAATCTTATTACCGATGAACTTTTTGTTTTCTTCAAATGCATCGAAGCAATTAATACAAATTTAGGAGTTAAAATTCCAACCTAAAAAATTTTAAATTATAAAAAAAAATCTATTTGACATGAAAACAATTCGCCACTTTTCTTTTTCTTTTTTTTTTTTGTTTTCGATCAAATATCTTTCTTAATATAATATAAATTATTAATTTATATACGTATTTTTGCACAAAAACTTATCACTTTGGTTTGGATCAATTATCAATATTTCATTATGATAGGGTCATTAGGTCAGCACTTACTTTGTCGCCATTCTTTCCTATATTTTTTAATTTTTCCTTTTTTAAATTCTTCCAGCATTTTTT